AGTCAGGTTTTTTTATGCGCGCATGATTTGGGCACTTAATACTCTGTGCCAAATTGCAACTCCTGACATGTACTCCTTCATACCTCTAAGCTGGTAACACAGCAAGCAGTACGATTTTATAAACAAGACATAGTCTTGTTGACAATTATTTTTTTAAGGTAATATTGTTATTTTACAACAACTTTTGTTAGGCATTTAATAAAACAAATTTCAATATTTTAAATTTATAAACAAATTGTTCAAACTTTTCTAGAAAAACTAAAATTTATTGTTGTGTATTAAATATTTTTTATTAATAAAAATTTAAGATTTGTTTTAGTTTTTCACATTATTTAGTTTTGTTTTATTTATTGTTTTATATTTTTTGTGCGCTCTATTTCTAGTGTGAGAAAGGGGGTCCCCGTAAGAAGAAAATGTCTAGGGCCCCAAAGTGGGTTAATCCGGCCCTGAATTAGATCAGTCAGCAGCATTTCATATAAAATTTCCTATATTTTTTATCATAAAAGTTTAATGAACCAACATATTTTTATCACTATAAAAATCTTTCGTTTTAAATCTAACTAAATTTAGATTAATAAATCAAAACTGATTTTTAAAAATGTAAAATATGTGTACTCTGTAAACTATAATTCATATTTTTTAAGGCAACATTAAATAAATTTTTTAAGAAGGAACTAGGCTTCTCTTGATGAAAGGCTATAGCTGTAACTTATTAGTTTATGTAAACCCACGTTGTCACTTGTTTCTACCATTTATCAAGTACTTGCAACGTGACTGTTGTAAAAATTTGCATTTACTTTTATTTTTAATTAAATATTTTAAGAAACGTCACCCATAAATTATTCGTTTATTTTTTTAATTAACGATATTTATAATCAATTTACTATAATTTAATTTTTATTTTTTACACGTAAATTAAATTATATTTAAAGAAAATTTACTATTAGTTTTTCGTTTTACATCCAATATTAATTAAATAAAAATTTAGAACATTTATGAACACTTTTGTTGTAATTTGGCCAGTGTGGAGGTTAGAAAACTTATTTTCGTTTTTCATAAGAATATAAGACAGGACTTTTGCATAGGAAAGAAAACTTTATTTTGATGATAAAGTAATTCACAAAAGGAAAATGATAAAACAATTCATTTAAATTATATACAGATGATTTTCCAGGATTGTGTAGATTCTTGGTAATGTTATAAAGCAATAAAACTTTACTTGTGAAAGTGAAACATACCTAGCAATTTATTATTTATAACTTTATTTTGGTTTTAATAAAATATTTAACATCAAATTATTTAACAAATATTTCACTACTATATTCGTAGAATAATTAATTATTGTTGAACTTCAGTTACCGCTATAGAAAAAAATAGATTGCCGGTCAGGCCTTTTATAGGCCCAAGCCCTGGAACGAAAATGTCGGTTTACCCCTTTCGTCAGCTATGTTTATAACAGTAATATAGATTTTAAAATATGGTCGAAAATTTAATACCTCGACTATAATACTAAATTCATTTGATTTTTAGAAACTTAAGTTCTTAAGCGTGGAACCCAGCACAAATGCACGGTGTTAAGGGTGATATTGCGTAAGTTTTAATCTAAAAATGTAATAAAAATATGAAAGGAAACAAACGTTTGAAAAAGAATTTAAGAAATTAATTTTTAATTTTATTGTTAGTTCTCTAAATTTATCTATAATTTTATGTACTGTATAGATAAATACTGTACTCTGTACTGTATAACGTTAATATTAGGTTTCCTATTGCATTAGGTTTAAAACGTTTCTCAGCAACGAATGGTTGTTTGATAGTTCATTAAGTAAAAAAGCTGAGTTTGATTAGTGATTTTTGGTTAATATGTAAACTTAAGAATAGTGTACTGTACTGTACATATTACAAAATTCTTCTGTATGTAAATTTTGATCTTTGTAATCAAAATGTAGCTCGAAACTAATTTTGTAATCAATATATATCCTGATTATTAAAAAATTTGTCTACGTTTGATATAACCTATTTCAACAATTCCAAAAATAATGTTTCGAATGGATATTTGTAATGTTGAAAAAAAATATTCATTTTTTGCAGTTAAAGTCAAAGGAAGTATAACTTATCTATTCAATTAATAATTATGTATTCTACGCACAATTGGTTATGATTTAAACATTAAATTATAAGAGCAATTATGCACAATTCTACTAAATAGCTTAGAAATTCAGGTTCATTAGATCTAAAAATATTTCGAAATTAATCAATTTATTAACTTACAGTGTACTGTACTATATAATNTACAATTGTTATTTGTTAAATTGTAACAAGTATAATAAACTTAACACAAGAATACTAATTCAGTAAAGAAATCAAATTCAATCTTTTAAAGTAAATAAACACTAGCAACTTAGATCAAAAAGTTCAGAAAAAATTCTTTATTTGTTTTAAATGTTTTTCAGAACCATTATGCTTCACATTCAGACCAGTGATATAATTTGCTACTGGGTTATTTGCTTTACAATATTAAATGGACCTGTGTTCTAATGTAATCAGTGAATTAGTATTTTCATGGTTTTGTCATTTAATTTTAATTGAACACGTTAATGAAGTTTAGATAAAACTACTTTTTTAATACATAAATTTCTGTGCAATATGCAGTATACACACACACACATATACACATTTATAAATTAGTAAATTAATATTTGTGTTTTGCATTTTTAAAGCAGTTTAGATAATCTTGTGATCTAGCATCTTGCTGTATGCTAGCTATACCATATAAAAGTTATGTTCAAAAAGTGTACTTAGAATTAAAATTCAACAATTATGCTATTTGTTCAGGATTAAATTTTCTGATCAATTATTTAACATTTTCAATAACAGAAAGCCTTGAAAATATTAAATTGAATTAGAACTTGAATTGAACTTCTTCACTGAATTCTATTTTTGTGTCAAATTCTTTATAACCAAGAAGTCACAAATATGGATTTATTTCAACTTAGGTAATAATTAATATTATTTATATGTTTTAAAAATATAAATATTTTTATACATATAACCATCATTATTAATTAAGATGGGTAAATTAATTTTTATGATAATTTTCATAATGTATTAATTTTCTCATGATTTTCAGATAAAATTTATGTTAGAATCTTGCCAAAGCCTTCTAATGAAACAGGAAATAAAACTGATAATATAAAATTAATTTCTCCTCCTGAAATCATTCATCCTATTCCTGTAAGTCAAATAAAACAAGAAGTAGAAGAAGTGATTCTTCCAAGTAATGTAAGAACATTTTTTAAATTTATTATACTGTTAAAATTATCAATATAATGTGTGAATATATAATAGAGAGGTTGAGGTGCAAGTTCAAACATTACTTCTACATGGCAAGCAGGAGTACACTGTTTACGTTTTAACTCCAAGAAAAAATCGTTGCAGCGCACGTTCACAATATCATGACTCAGTGAACGTTGCACATTGACTCACGGGAAATTTGTTGAAAAATTGGCGGATACATTTAACATTGAGGGTCACCAGCGAAAGTAAATAAACAAATTAAACTATTTTAAAGTATTTATAGGATGTTTAATAACACTAAATAATTATTTTTAATTAGCGTGGTGTCTCCTACTGTGTGATCGGACGATAGGACTACCTCATACTTTTGTCAAGGGAAGTAGTGGCTTATATAAATTTGGAAAATTATTTTTAGAAATTTACAAATGTATTACGCTGTTGATGGTAGAAGATGCCATGGAAGAACAAACCTACCTTAAGATAAGCTGTTATGAAGGCAAATATATGTAAATTCTATAAGCACTTTGCATCACTTGCTAAAAAATTGAATAATTAAAAAATTTTTGGATTAAAATCATCTGTTTCTTTACAATATTATTTGTAAATGCTTAAATAATCATTATTTTAATAAAATAGGTCATAATTTTAACTCCAAACACAAAAAAATATGAAGTTTAAACCGATCGTCTACTTGCCATGCTAGACATAGTGAACACCATTATCGACCATCTAGAATTGCCAGATGGTGGTGCTCGATCGTCTGCTGTTCACGTTTTTTGCTGAATACGACAGCTGCAACCTCTCTAATAAATTTTTTGTATATTTTTATTATACTTGTGTGTGTTTGAGCAGTATACTTCAGATTGGATAGTTAATTTTATTTTAAAATTTAACATTAATGTTAATAATAGAGATTAAAAATATGTAAACATGTTTATAGACAAAATTGCTAACAAAAATTTTTGTAAAAAGTTACAAATGTAGAATAAAAAGTATATGTACAAGTAATGACTAAAAAGTCATAAACTAATAAGTATTAAAATGATGATATAACTTTTTCAAAATTCTCAACAATAGTGTATGAATATGTAAATCAAAAATATTTTAAAATTTTATTATTACTTTTGCAAACTAAAAATTCTTATTACTATAAACACATAGAAATTAAAATTGACTGACTAAATTATTTTTCATTATTTATCATATACAGGTAACCCCTGTATAACATGGCACTTCTATAGCATGGATTCATTCTAATATGGTTTGAAAATTGAGAACATCCCCATATAACATGGTGCTTTTATAGCACTCTAATACGGTTCAGGAATTGGGTAAAACCCTTGCACAACATGAAATGTAATAAAGGGTGTGTTCTTTTATACCTCCGCGCAACTTCGCGCAAGCATTCTAATTGTTTTCATGACTACTTTGAATGCTCTTTTAACAAATAATCCATTTAATGGTTAAATTTTACAATTTGGACCCTTGTTTTGCCTCTAAAAGCTTATTTTAGAATTATAGATTCCTCCATCACGATACTATCGATAGTGTGGGCGCTGCCATCTTTCTTCCACTGTCATTCCTAAATGCCTACAAACAGCGGCGCACTCCCATTGCAGAGCGACCGCTATTAACGAACACACCCAAAATCTTACCAGTTGATGATGCTCATGCTGAGATCATCATCTGGGATGAATAATCCTCTGGTAAAATATTTATTTAAATAATAAGTAAANCGATAGCATCTTAAAAATGAAGCTAATTTTATTATTGTCATTATTTTAAAAAGAAGTATATTATAAATTATCAACATAAATTTATCATTTATTTGCCTTTCTGAAAGCGTTATATTCTTCACAGATTTTCTCAAAATAATTTTTATCCTCTAGAAACTTTTTCATATCATTTCTCAAATCCATTTCTTTTATTTCTTATAAAAGAAAAATGCATATATAGTAAATAGATTTGTATCTGTCAACAAAATTATTGGCAAGTTTTCATAAAATAATGGATGACGAAAATCCTTACACCTTAAAGTGAATAAAAGTGGGAGCAAATCAATACTTGATGGTGATTGAAGAGAATCATTTCAAAGCAGTATATAAAAAATATTAAGCTTAAAGAAAAAGTTTGAAGAAAAGTTTTTGAAATTTAAACTTTCTAAATATTTATGAAAGTCGTAAAAAGTTTAATTGCTACAAGAAAAATAAAATTTAAGAATAAATGTTGAATATTAAACTTTATATACAACAACTTTATATAAACAAGTAAATTATAATAATTGTTATAGTGATTTTTAATTTATATATATATAGCCTATATATTGCTAAGTTTGATATAATTAGATCATAATCATAAATTACAGTTTTAGCATAATAAGTGTAAGTGTACGAATGAATAAGTATAAAAAAGTACGACACTAAAATGCTAAGCATCTCGGTTCAATCCATAAGAGATCGATTTTTTCAGCAAATGCTCTCTTCGGTCTCTTAGAAAGGAGATCGTACAAATAAAATGGTACCTCTGTGAATATAGACAATGTGAGTGCAAACAGTAAGATTTTGGAACACTTTTGGATAAAGTGAGAAATGAGTTTAACTTTTGTCGAATCAATCTAAGACAGCTATTTTCCGGTAAAAACAATTTTAATTCAGATGGAGATGATTAAGCAACGAAGTGGAACCACTAGAGTTGTCAAAAAAAATTTTTGGATCTCACTAAATATAGATTTAGTGAGATCCAAAAACACCTTTTGATAACGTAAAATATAGATCCCCAAATTCTATAATGTACGTCAATTTTCGATGAAACGGGTTTGTTCCCTTATACAAGAAATCGCTTAATTCCTTCTAGAAACATTTAAGAAGCAAATATAGACAAAAACCAAACAGCAAACGAGTAAATAGTAAATAGATAATTTTAAAACGATATCTGATATTTGGATTAAATTTTTCTGTAAAATTTGAACCGATCTTACTAAAATAGAATGCTAATTGTAAATCTTGCAAATGTTTCATCCTTTTCAATTTTCCCGAACACACGTACAGTATGTAGAACAAGTTTAAGTGAATCTAAATTTGTTCCATCGAGTTTTGTTCTGCTGTAAGCGTTTATGCCTAAAGAAACTTAAATTACGTAAAAAATGTTTGTATGATGAATAGTTGAAATTTGCATTTTAGTAACATCGATAAAATGGTTTTGTTTTTATAAAAATGTGTCACACTAAATGCTCGCCATTTAGTGTGTCTCTAATTTAATTTCATTACAATAGATATATAAAATAATCTAAATATATAAAATTACATGTCCTGACTGCAGAGCCGGCCCGTTCATACAGGCGAACTAGGCGATAACCTAGAATGCTTGAATTCAGGGGGCGGCATGGCGAAAGTACATGCATAAATTACAATAAATAATGAAAGAAAAAATGTTTTTTTATCACAGCCCTCTCTCACGTGTTGACCCGCGAGTCGCCATTTTGAAAGTAGCGCCGTAGTCTCACGATCGCGATATTGAATGCTGCATATTGAATAAAAATCGAAGAGATATCGAAGACTGCTGTGAAAAATTCCAAACCAAATACAGTACTCCAAAACATACACGTTGACTCCTTTACCGCCTTGTCCGGGTACCTAAGATAGTACAGCTGACATATTCCGTTTTATATAAAAATTAGCCGCTTGTCACATAGAAGTGTTCCTGCTTTCTCTATTCTAAGTAAAATATAGGAAAAAGTATTGTGTCAAGTAATATATTCATTTTGTTCCGTAGCAAATGGGGACGAACAGAGATAGACGATGTATCAATTTGAATAGATGTTATCGGTGTTTTGTCTTTGAATTAGCTACATTCTAAAAATGTTTCGTTTAATTTTTATTGCAGAATTTATAAAATCTGAGATAGTCTTGTTGATATTTATCATTTTAAACCGTTACTTACTTTTAAAAATGCTATCAAACATGCCAGAAGTATAATAAGGTAAATCCAAAACACAGCAAGAACTTGCCGAATCGACAAGTGTTTTTGCTGCATGATTGTTTTCTAAATGTCGAAACGTGTGTTTATGTCATATTATAAAGATTTAACATGAATGTCCAAATTATTTAGTTTTGAACCTTTTTATTGTAAATACAGTAAAATAAATGAAACATTATATAGCCTAATCTAACTATATCAGATATGTTTAGTCTGTCCTCACCGCCTGAATACACGGACAGCCGGATGGCCGAACGGTTAAGGTTGCAGCCTACCGCTCTAGGGGACCCGGGTTTGAATCCAGACGGGTCGATAAATCCTTAGAAATTTTTGGGGTATTGTTCGTCCGAATATGTCGGGTCCAGTCCTTCACTACCCGACTGCCCCATTGTGGGCCTGGTCGAACCCATAATGGGCTTGCTAATAGAGGCCCTCTTAGTGCCCACAGGAAGGACAGTTTTTAAAATAAAAATAAATAAATAACCCGAACGCATGATACGTATGATTAAAAAGTTTTCGTAGTGTCTACAAAGCAAAAACAGTAAAATAAAATAAAAATATGGAAAAAAGAAAAAATAATTCAGAACACGGCCTTTAATCTTGTTGGATCGCGAGCATCTTAAAATTTAAAATCACTTTATTTTTAGAAAATTTATAAGAAAAAATAATTTTACTCTTACATATATTACAACAACTCAATTTTGTCAATTTGGATACTGTCAATTGTAAGTCACAGGAATACTTTCCTACCGACATTTCCTCATTTCTGATTTCCGGTACGTGACACATGAATATGCCAAGCACCTTTTTATTTTATACTCTTTCCGCCCTGTGGGCACTAGGAGGGCCTCTTTTTGCAACCCCATTATGGGTTCGGCCAGGCCCACAATGGGGCTGCCGGGTGGTGAGGGACGGGGTCCGACATATCCGAACGGACCACCCCCCCCGAGAAATTCCTGGGGATTTTTCGACCCGTTCGGTTTCGAACCCGGGTCCCCCAGGACGGTAGGCTGCCACCTTGACCGCTCGGCCATCCGGCCGCTAAAGTATGCCAAGTATCAATACTTTCAAGATCATATTCCCATTAACGATGTTTTTGTGGTATACAGTATATATTATTATCCTGAACAATATTTGAAGTTCGAAATAGTGTTTTAACTATGACATTCTTTGAAATAATTATTATTTGTTTAACAATTTTTTTTACATATGCTTTTAATTTAATTTGATTACACGACTATCGATGTTAATTAACGACATATGAAATAATTGACGTTAAAATATTTACTTCGATGTGTCCTTAAAAATTTCGACACTTAAAAACAAATACATTTTTTACCGCTAGGGGTATTTCGTAGGATTGCGTTCATTGTACGATGCTTCTTTTTGTTGTATGTTAATTTTGTATAAGGAGAGAAAATATATATTGATGATAGTTGTCGAAATTAAATGATAGAAAAAGTGGCGACTGCACTATTATCTTTATTATTGCTGGAAGAATTAGATGAGGAATCTGAAGCGAGCGAAGAAGAAATGGAATCTGAAGAAGAAACGAACGAAGTCGAAAATCCCACTCCAATAGTTAATAACGCATCAAATAACGATTCGAATAATTCTTCTAGGGTCAATTCAGGTAAATATAAATTTGTTTTAAAATATGAATTTGTAAGACTTAAACTAAAGCTATAAGAGAGGTGAGAAGATAAGCTAACAAGTTAATATAACCTGTAATTTTTTATGATAAAAGGATTCAATTCAAGTGTTGAATGATACGTTTGTGACCAAAATAGAGCTGTAGAACATACTCATAGGAACAAAAATAAGTCAAAAGAACCATACCTGTATATGTGACTTTTTATGAGAGATTCACTTCCACGGGTCCGTTTTTACTGTGAAACGGTACTCTTGCCTATTCTCCATGCTCCAATGCTCCATATGGGATGAACCCCACAACCCCACAACCACCTAAAACTATATAACATCAAATACTCCAAAACATTCAAGTCAAGTGGGTTACTCAAAGTATGCATAATAGCACAAATGCTATTATGACTATACTTTGTGATAGTCTTAGCAAAGCGTGGAGCACAACTGATTTTGGAGAGATGGTTTCTTTGACTTTTTTCCTATGTATATGGTCTATGGCTCTGGTAAAGTCCCAATTGTCTCATTCAGAGTTGTAATTGTATCTTCTGTTTTGTGTAAGAATGATATTTATGCAATGTTGAGAGTACTTGTGCACCTATTTTTGTTTAAATTAAACTAAAGTAATACTGAAAGACAGTGTTTTTTATTACTACTATAAACTTGGTGTTGAATGTGATAACCATTTTCTGAGAAGAGTACTATTATAACAGTGTGTGTGTTCATATGGTATTTCCACAGACTAACACAGACATGTCAAATGAGGCTAAAAATTGTAGCAGAAGTCTTGAACAGAAAATGTACTCAGCAAATTAATAATCAAAATAATCAACACCTAATCCGTTGCCGAGGGAGTTTATTTAAAATACGAACATTTTCTACTCCATAGATCATCTTCAAGTTGAAAAAAGAATATGGAATAACCATAAAGAATAGAACATTAAATTCAAATTCAAAAAATATTGACAACTGAGTAAATAAGTAAGATAATTAAAGTGTAAAAAATACCAAGTGTAAAAATAAATAACACAACAAGCCGTTAACAGTTGACAAAAACTATAAATGCTCTCATGACATGAATTGTGAATCAAGTCGTCATTCATAAGCTATTTGTAATTCTTTTAATAGCAAATTTCCATGCTGAGGGTAGGCCCTCTTCATCTCTAGCGTTTATACATCTATCATTAAGTTTGCTTCTGTATATTTCCATTTTTTCGGCAGTCTTCACTAAAGTTGGGGAGTGTATTTGCCTAATGATTTCAGCCTCTTCCCATCCAACTATGAAACCTTGGGCTTGAGCCATCTGGGCCAAGCCCAAGGTTCAGCATAATTGGGCCAGCATAATTGCGTTTGATTTTTTCCTAACATCATATTTATGCTCTCTGACCCTTACCCCCAATTTCCTCGTTGTAACTCCTATGTACTCCTTTTTTAATCCTAACTGTTGGTTATCATACGGGATCTTATAAATTCCTGCTTTATCCTCTTTCTTAATATCCCCTTTATTGTTTCTTAGAATCTTGAATAAATTTGGGTCTCGTTTTAAAATCACTGTTGATTTTTTTATGTCTGCAATCTCCTCCATAATGCTTCTTACATTTTTGTTGTACGTGAACTTTAGAACTAAGAAGCGTACATATTTATGTTGAAAGCGCTTGCAAGATTAAAATATTTCTTTTAATTCTATTTAATGCCTCATAGTCTGAAGTTCTTGATGTTTTTGATTGAGCACAAGTGCAATAATTTTTGGTCCTGAAGATACTCAGAACCAAACATTTCACAGAAAACATACTCGGCAAATTAATAATCAAAATAATCAACACCTAATCTGTTGCTGAGGGAGTTTTATTTAAAAAACGAACATTTTTGATCTACTTCATAGATCATCTTCAAGTTGAAAAAACGAATATGGAATAACCACAAAGAATAGAACATTAAGTTTAAAATTCAAAAATATCAACAACTGAGTAAATAAGTAAGATAATTAAAGTGTAAAAAATACCGGTTGTCTTTGGGCAATTCAATAGTCTGAAGTTTTTGATGTTTTTGATTGAGTTAACTGTTGGTGTGACGTCCAAGCTGAGTATTTATTGCACTTGTGCTATTTAGAAAATACACAATTGCAGATAACACCGTTACATTGTTTTCAATATTTTAAAAATTTTAGAAGATATATCATTGCACAAGTNTTTGTTATAAAAACTTTATATATTTTTAATTACTATAAAATGGAAAAAAAGGCTAAATTTTGAGGGTAGGAGTGAGTTTTATATAAACAAAAAGTGTAAATATTAATAACAAATAAAATCTTCATTAAGTTCTATCCCTCTTTAGATACATCCCTCTCTCTATCTTCCCACCCTCTCGACCTTTTATCACCAAAATTTAATAGCATCAATGCCCCTTAGATACAATTTTTTTCATTTTTGACTTTTTTGGATTCAGGAGATCTCAAAACGTGAAGATTTGCAAAAACTCGGAAGGTCAAATTTGACTCGATTGCAATACTTTCTCTTGTTATGTATACATAACAGCCGGGAATGAAAAACTAACAAAAGAAAAGCAAATAAAACATTTCTGATAGCGAGGTTATATTAATTGGTAGATTAATTATGAAAATTAAAAATTATAGAGTATATGTAGTAATTTAAATTATTTTTTAAAAGAAAAATATTATAATGGATTACTAAATAATAAGTCTAGATAAATGTTGCAATCAGTAGATGATCATAGGTCTGAATCATTGCATCTATATGTCAATTTTTCAAATAGTATATAAAAATATTTTTATATACTATATAAAAACTAAAAAATGTATAAATATGCGACGGTATTATTCGGTTACGCCATCTGATGATATAGGCAAATATTATATTTTTACTTCATTTACGAAATTTCTGTCCTACCAAATTACAATTTATTCTTCTTAATATTCATATTTGTTCAACATTTTAACATTCGATATTTTCTTTATATTTCATTTAAATAATTTATATATTATTTTATAACACTGTATTAAGAATAAAGTTGAAATTAAAAAATATATATCTTANCTATGAAAAAAAAATGAATAAATTTGATTTAAATAAGGATTTAACAGCATGTTTTTTAATTTTTGGAACCTAACCCCCCTTTTTGCATTAGTTCTTTGTTGCACGTATAACACGGATTCGCATAACACTGCAATTTTTTGGAACGTAACTCCCGTGTTATACGGGGATTACCTGTATTTAAAATTTAACATTTTTACTATACAATGTTTTGTTTTTAAAATCATTTTTATTATCATTTTTTTTTTAACTAAAAAATATTTCTCTGAATAATTTATTATTATGTAGAAACTAATGAATGTTTTTCCTAATCATAGTAATTAATTATTTTAAGGATGAACATCTTATTTCAAATCAAGTTTCCCAAGCTTCTTCAGCAGCTACTTCAGTTCAGACTACTACAGTTCCAAAAGTTTCTATAGATACTTCTATACAAAATTCTCAAATTCCCATAATTACATCAGTTAATAATGGACATGTACCCCATGTTTCTATGATATCATTTCAAAAAGTACCTGACATATCTCCTCAAGTTCCAATAATTACTTCAGTACAGAGTGAGCAATCTTCTCAACTTCCTATGATTACCTCAGTACAGAGTGGTGATATTGATGATTTGATTAACAGTGACTATAAGATTAAAAAGGTAGATAGTAATTAATGATTCAGGTGTAACTTTGACATTTTTTATTTTTGTTTTTGATATTTTATTTCTGATATTGGTTAAAATGAAATTATAAGAATGGATTAATAAATAACCACCCAGTAAGAACCACGTGAAGCAGAAAATTGCATTTAAATATGCTGTGCACAAAAGGTACATTATATATAAGGTAAATAGCCATAACTTGAATCATACGTTCATGTAATTGTGTTGGAAAATGGAAACATTCAAAGCTGAGCAATATGGCATAATCAGTTTCCTAGTTGCTGAAGCTTATGAGATCACTGCAGTTCATCAGCAAATGCAACATGTGTATTGTTCATGCACTGTAATGCTTATCCAGATTAAGTTGTAGACCACAGGTTCCAACCTTCTTTTGGCCTAATGCCCCTTTTCAGAAAAAAAAAATAAAAATTACTCATTGTTTCAGAAAAAAAACACGCCAACTTCTGTTCTTGAAATCAATAATGTAACCCATAGTTTTCCAACTTTTTTGGGTCATAGCCCACTTTTTCAAACAGTGATTCGATGGCACCCCTCTTAGGTGAAGTATACTATATTATATATTGAAAAGCAAGGAGAGATTTTTAAAATTACTTTATTAAGATATTAACAATATTTATGTATTGATGAAAGTTTGATTAACAAATATATGTTATTAAAAGAATTAATATATTATTATTNACACACGAAAAAAAAAAAAAAAACATAAGATTGCTATTGTATATTCGAATATTAGTGGCGGAGTGGAAGCGCTGTATTGTCATCAGCCAAAAAGCCAGATTCGCACATGCGCTTTACAGATCACCAACCTCACCCGGTTTAGCTGGTGGAAGCCTAGGACCGTGGGTGGATGCTACACGTATACCGCATCCAATTCTATCCAGGACTGATTCTGGGCTGTTAGCCGCCTGCCCGCTAGATATTTGGCCGCCCTAGCCCGATTATGTGAATCAGAGTAGATTTATAACTTAACCCAACTGATAGGAATTTACTGGTATGTTTTTATGATAGTTCTGTATAGTTGACAAGAGTTTAAAAAAATCCATTAAAATATTTGATATATTTATTCCATTTTCCGATTTCATATTATTCACGGATTTCAATGTTAAACCAGTGACATTACGATTTCGTATGTCCATCTATAAGGGATGTAGAAAAATTCTTGTACAATTCTTGTATAATGTTAAAAAATTAACTGTTACTTTGACAGCATCATTTACAACTAAATGTAATGAATGAGAGAGATGCACAAGGTACAGAAAAAGCTCTAGAATTTATTTTCCTTGCATTTACGATTTATATATCCGTTTGTCATAAAAATTTGTCTTTCCACTTTTTTCCCGAGACTAGAAATATTCGAGTACAAAGTAACCGGTTTCAACTTATTTCTACTTAAGAAGTAGTTAAATAATTAAGCCATTAGGGAATTGGGGACACATAAACTGATGAAAGAGCCGAAATTTTACTTAAACAAAAGCTTAACCGAACCATCTCTAGCCGAGTACAGTGGAGACTGATTTCTTCATATTATTAATGTAATAAAGATAGAAATTTTTCCAGTTCAATGAGAGTGACCGAAAAGTTGTAAATTTTGAAAATTTCTGAGGACACTTGGTCCTAAAACGAATTAGTTAGAAAACAAATTACTATTAAGTTTAATATATTTAGATTTTTACAGCTATGATGAGAAACGTTTAAAATCTACAACAGCCCCGTTGCGTCCTTTGAGATATACTAGTGATGCGACAAAAGAGGTATTTGACATTGACCAGTATCGGCACCCTGGGGATTTCGCAGTCCGCGTGTATGCACGCTCTGCGATTCCATCCATTAGCCACTCGTATGGAGCTATTTGATAAGTGAATTGTTTTAAGATTTAAAAGGTAAAGAATATTTTATATTTTTATGTACGTTTCTTTACAAAGCTATATTTAATTATAATTTTCTATAAAAGTATATTCATACAATTGAAGAATATTTTGTACCAGGTATGTACCGGTACATCCACCAAATATTTTATTTCACCAAGTAAGTTTTTATTATTTTATTTTTAACTGTAGCCCTTATATCGTGGCCAGCGATTCAGAGTGTAATTGTGATATTAAAAATACATTTAGAAAAGTCTACGGTTTTTACTGGCTTATCGAATAAACGATACGAATGGATCCTAGACCATCACTGACGCGCAATTGACTGATTGCCCTTGGATGTCGGCTTCTTACAGAAACACGGCTTCCCTATCATCAAATGCCACGGCACGCCACTGGTTTCGGATGCCTAATTACCACTTTATATTTTAAATTCAGAATTGCCTCTCATAAGTAGTAAAGTGCTACTGGATATTAAGTAAACTTTTATGCGCTAAAACTGTTTGAACTGTTCAATAATTAATTATTTTCGTAATTGCTAACATGAATCATTAATTTCGAAACAGAATATTAAAAAAAATTTACTGTTTTTGTAAAAATATTTTGTTACTCTTATTTCAAAGTTTATGCCTACAACTAGAAATTCAAAAAATGATTCCTATATTCAAGCCGGTACAGGTAATTAAAATGTTATACTAAGTGGAAATGGAATGGATCAGTTTCAACAAAATCGCTTATTGTAAAATAGCAATAATAGATTAAATTAAATTAATTGCACTGTAAAAATTATGATGAGTGGTTGAAAGACCATAATTCACAAACACCTAATTTTATTGGGAGTGGCTATATTGGCATTTCAAAATATATTGTCAACGATCCATTTCATCCAAATGCAACGATGAAATGAATCATACTCAATTTCCATATGGGGTAAAATAGATCGCATTTTTTTCATTCTGGTAATCGAACTAATTAAAATCAAACACATCAAAATAAACTCAATATATTAAAAGAGTTTAAAATGGAAAAATTCAAAAACTTGTTTTATTTATTTGTCATCTTAAGCGTAATATTTCAGTTTTTGCTAGTGCTTATAATAACTTACGAAATATTCACGTGTTATCGTCGCTCATGCATACACACAAAATGATTTTTTTTTCAACGAAATTTGGGGCGATTTTTTCAAAGTGCTTTCTTACTAGAAACTTCAACCGAGCAGTGTCACGTGAGGACAAAACACAAAAATAAAAATCCTATAAACATATTGTTAAAAACTTAGCGTAATCCATCTCACTTCAACCTACTCTAATTGATTACTTATATAATAATTATGTTTAAAATTATCATTTTGCGTCAATATATAAAGTATATAATATGCTAAACAGATAGAATTTTTATATTCTTCTTTAATGAAATTTACAGACACGACTATAATAGTTAATTGTTCGTGTGTAATCTTAATGAATTAGAAAAAGTATTTTCAGTTTTTGCATTAAAAATTATTTCGTCATAAAATGTCATAAACATATCAATGTTTGTATGTTAAAAAATATATCAGAGTATACTGTATATATAGATCAAATTTACAATGACAACTTTTAACACAATAAGAAATATGAAATAATTTTACCTTACCACTTATTGTCCTACACTTAATATCTTCGGAAAGACTTTTGCTGCAATAATAACAGAAAAATCTTTCTGTAAAATACAAGTATTCTACTAAAGACATTAATTTCTTATTATAAGAATACGGAAAGTTTTAGATTAGAGTTTGAAATAAATAAACAAAATGTAGAAATATGTTCGGTTAATTCATTATTTTTTATTATTCAAATTCTAGAAACGTTTTTCCTAAAACTTGAGCGACAGGAAAAAGTTTAAATTTATATTAAATAAATTTGCAGCATATTAGTATTGTGTATTTTTTCCTAATATAATTAATTTAAATATAGAAATCAATGTAATAAGATTTATCCGAATTGTTAAGCAATTAATAATTCATTCATTCGAATAGAAAGTATTTTTCCGCAGCTTGATCCATGAAATAGTTAACAGAGTTTTGCTACAATACAGTACAGTAATAACTTTGCAATTATTAATGCCGCTTTGTTACTTTAATGTAATTCGAACAAATAATGGAAATGACGGCTTAAATCGAAAAACAGAATAAAAATAAATATATCGTGATTGTTTTCATCTGACAAAGAACAATTCGTAACGCTTTCAACAAACGTGCAAATATATAATAATATAGGCCTATATACAGTATATTTTTTCCTCCACGAAAGCCAATAACACCATTTCTCAGTCAACGATGAACATTTGAGAGATAGCTGTATACTTCCCAGAAATCAAGTAAAGCCATTAAGAAATTTCATATAAAACGAGGTTGAAACTTCTTTGAAAAAATCTAAACCCGTTTATAGTCATATGATTTAATTTTAATCTGTTTATTCTTTCCTTTAAGTACGATTATTTGATTATAAAATACAATTTTAATAAATATTTAATCAAATAATTATGTATTTTCTAATCGTTTTATTCGAAAATTTTTTTCCTTTTCAATTTGTCTTTTCGTTTTCTTAAGTGTATATACCTACTTATTCGACTGCCAGATGACGAGGCGACAAAAGCAGATTCCGGGATCGGTTCTAAACAAACAAATCAGAAATTTTTACGGACGATCTATTCCAGATACGTTGAGTTCCTTCCCTTCACCACTAAGTTCCACGCAAAAACCACCTAGGATCGGAAAACATCCTCTTTAAGGCCTACAGTATGGAAAGAGCGAAAAACTATTTATTTTGTAAATTAGTAAAAAGCGATACAGTATTAATAATAATCGCTTTGATTCGTTTTTCTTTGCATTTAATTATTGCTTCATTTCTTTATATTTTTATTACGCATAATTAGGGAAACCAATTCTCTCAATATATTCAAAATTCCTAAATACGGGTACATGAAGGGATAGATTTTATAAACAATTTTCATAAATAACATTTTTACTAATGAGGAAAGAAATATAACTTCGGAAATATATAGGCCTACCGGTATTTTTGAACTAGACCCTATTGCAAACACTGAATAAATATCCGATTCTGAGTAATTGTTTGGCTTTAACGTAACATTTTTGGTTTTCAACTAAGCACGATTTAGTTTTAAAAATTAAATTTTTTATAATAAAATAATAACACATAATATCCATTAAAGATGCATTAATATAATATAATATTAGTCAATTCAGTGCAGTAAACTAGTAAACCAAATTATCGGAAAGTTTTTATTTTATACTTTATGCTTGTAATAGGGGATGATTATATGGTGGTAACCTTAGCGCCTAGCAGAAGTAGAGAGAACTAACATTAATGACACAAACCAGTCGTAAAATATTCAGTTACTCGAACGTAACATCCCGAACAACAAAACATTTACCTAAATCAAGATATTAAATCAGTCTCGAAACTTAATAGACAAGAGTTTTATATAATATTATTATTATAAAAAGGCAATAGACTTATTTTGGGAGGCAGATGTAGGTTTAGAAAAAACTGTAAATGCTAATAGCGAGTAAAATTTTCATTAAGTCTGGTCCCACTCCAGATATGACACATGACCTTCTCTATCTTCCCTCTCACTTGACTTACAATCTTCAAAATGTAATACAGTAGAACCCCTCTAGTCCGCCCTCGGCTAGT